AGCAGCAGTGGTTATGAATTGAATTTGCCCTAAGGCGACCGTTCCTGTCCGTTTGTACCCAGAGTAGGCGAACGCTTACACGAAGGTGTGTATTGGCGACGGGTGAAGGCACCTTCCTTCGGCCAATAGAAGTGTTCAGCGAGAGAACGACGATGCTCTGTGACTTTCCAATGTGTGCAACTCCACGAATGGTTCACTGAATGTCTGCACGGCGTCCCCCAAAACCGCGTCTCAATGCTTCTAGCATTCATAGGACACCGATATCTAAGGCAGTAAGGAGAGCGTCACGCTAGGACTTGAAAGGGGACCTCACACCTCTTCTGATTGTTTCACGTACTTGCCGGCACACTCTAAACTACTGGAGATGTTCGCTCTGCTGGAAATATTGAAGCCACTGGTCCTGAAGGGCGGGGATAATTGGGGCAGAATGAACCCGCAGAAGAGCAACGGGAGATCAGCAGGAGCCTACGTGTGCTCGCTTGCCGCAGTATCCTAAGGTGAGTATTTCAAGCGGCAGAACCAATGTACCCTTGTTTCAAAGCAGCGCTAATAGCAATCTCTGCACTTGAGCAGCGCGTTCAGCGTCGTATGCAGATGTATCCTATTCATATCACCGCCTTTTGTTCATGGCAAAGTAAAAAAGTACGAGTTCGACTCCACCTCCTTCACCAGGTGAAAAACTGGAAGATGGAAGATAACGAGGAATTTAAGATTGTCCCGCTCAGTTGAATTTATTCCTAAATAGGAGGGAAAACGTGTCCTTTAATATATTCATTGATGCACGCTGGTTTTCGGTCCGTTGGCAGCTCAATTACGAAAACGCATAGTGCAGGATATGGCTGCAAATAACCCATAGAACTCATCTTGCCGATAAGGAGGCGTACAACTGCGTGAACATACCAAGCGGAAACTGCCGCTTCGGTCTCCAAGTCTCGGCAATGCACTGCGTAAAGCGAAACAGCACAAATATTCNAGCGGAAACTGCCGCTTCGGTCTCCAAGTCTCGGCAATGCACTGCGTAAAGCGAAACAGCACAAATATTCTTTTGTTCTCACCAGAGCCGCCCCATTCACTCACTGGGTCGTCCTTGAACATCCTCCCTAGTTGCACTGGCGCGGAATATCGCATGATCCGGTTACCGTAACAACAAATTCATGTTGTCCATGTAACAGTGAGAGCAGAGGATAATCACGAATAGGGCATCGCTGCTAACTGGGGAGAATGCGAGGAACTGTCCACCTACTTGAGCTGCTCACGTGCAACCTTCGAATGGTAGGCAGCTGCAAATCTCCGCTGCGCGTTCGCACTCCTGAAGCAAAATACGCAATTGTGTATACTGCAATTTTCAGCTCAGGGTCGATAGTACTTACCCTGACTTAAAAAGGCCGCCCCTCCCAACGAAACGTTTTTGAAGGTGCATAGATATGCTCTACTGCAAAATGGCTATGCAAGGTCTGGAGTGCCTCCCTTGATGCTCGTATCTCACGTGAGCGATTGAAGCAAGCAGCTTCGATTCCTTTGTGGAGGTGGGTGAAGCAACGTTAGGCTTTTCGATCCGTGATGCGTACATTGAGGCTGAACGCCCACACATGAGGTACACATGCCGTGTTCCATATGGCAAGGAAGCTCCTTCAAAACTGAAAGCTCTAATGGAAGATTTCCTTCGCTGCAAGTCCACTTACCTAGGGNCAAGGAAGCTCCTTCAAAACTGAAAGCTCTAATGGAAGATTTCCTTCGCTGCAAGTCCACTTACCTAGGGTACACAGAAGCAGTTTAATAGCTGCCATGAACAGCAGCTCCAAGAATCCAAAGAAGGCGACGCGCACCGATGCACCACAAACGAGGATCAGCAAATAAACTGCGTATACAGCAGCCCCACATGCAGCCTCAAATGCACCACTTGCACAACGCAAACCCACATCCCTATAGGTTCCTTCGGCAGGAGGAAATGTTTACTTTAGCAGAAGAAGCATAGTTCTCAAGCAACCAACAGATGCAAACAGTTTCAAACCTTAAATCCTTGTGCTACCAGCCACTGTCACTGTCAGCTCGCCAAACCTGCCAAAGGCATACCGATCAAGTGCTTCGGCATGGTGGCGGCGACAGCCATGCAGACGAGTTGCTCCTGCCTAACATCCCCCGCAAGAAAGAACCAAAACCCAACTACCGAACAGAGAAGATCAGCAAGAGGAGGCAGCGAGAGCGCCACAGTGAGGATACCCCACGCGGAGCCCCCAAGACGGTGGCCAACGCCAGCCCACTTGGCTATAGCGGTTCCGACTGGAGATGGCCCCATACCGGGCCCCTCCATTGGGGGCGAGACGACTAGCGGTCCCAAGGAAATGCCTTCAGAAACTTCTCCCCGGAACCAGAAGGAGTTTACGGGCACTGCCCACGCCAGACTGTCTTTTTCGGTTGAAGCGCCCGCGGGGAATGGCTGCGGCCAAGCGACGGCAAAGGAAGTGCCCTTCAGCCCGAATAAATAAATGCCCGTTGCCACCATGTGAATCATATGGACTGCCAAAGCTGCAGCTAAGACGTAGTTCCTGAGGACAGCAGGCAGACATAAAGCGGGCACTCTTCTCGACAGTGCGCTAGACGAGGAATACTGAATGCATGAAAGAATGGAGCTGAATGCCTTCAAATCCTACGCACGCACGTAAATGGGACCATACAGAGGCAAAGATACATTCATATTTGCAATTCTATGCACAAGCTCCCATAGGGATTCCTTGAGAAATGCTGTACAAGTTGTCCAGTGCGGCAGGCATGCCTGGCCATGTCTGTTGAAGAGCTTCGGAAACGAAGACGCCTCCATGCGAATCGAAAAGGGGACAATGGATTAAATCCGCGTCTTTGCGGGGTTTTCTGGGGGCAAGGATCACTTAGCGGGGAGTTTTCATCACCCTCTGGCTCTGGACCTGCTGCTCCTGTTGTGACACGCGAGATAATCGCCGAGTCGTCGTTACTCATAGCTATCCCTGCGCCATCTGGCCCTGTACCCAGTTTAGCAAGTGCACTCTTCTGCAGCGCCTGAACTGCGTCGCGCAGGTGCTGTGCGTCAGCTCCTGCAGATCGTCGGGCGGCGTCTGCAAGAGACATGACCGGACCACTTAAGACTTCCCCGTGCCCCTCGTCCTTGACGTCCCCCGATACAAGTCCTTGAGGGGAGGTGGAACTGTTGGACTGCGACTCGGGAGAAGACAAATCGCTGAAGGATTCCGCAACTCGACGCGCTCCTCGGATGCCGCCCGGTAGATGATGTTTCGGTGACGGGACCACTGGCCTGTCAAAAGATTGTCGCAAATATGTGGGGCCTCCGAGCGTTCCTGAGAAGGAAGGAACTGCAAGGGGAGGCCCAGAACCCCAGTAAGCAGCCGACTTTTGTAGCGAAGTTGCTGCAGCAGCAGTGTAGGGAGCAAGAGTCGGGTTACTGAGAGACAAACGCCGAGGGTCTAATGGAGAGGTAACTGCCATAGAAGATACCGGCGGGAATGTCGGTACAACGACTGGCTCAGCGCCTTCGTCCATTGAGGCCCCCCTTTCCCGAGTGCCTGGAGCAGGATGCGGGCCCTCTCCGCCAGGCTGAGGAGGTTCTTCCGTGATGACTAGGGCAAGGGCTGCTTCTGTTTCAACAACAGGGGTGCTCCCTTCCCACGTGGGTCCACTGGGGCTTGTGGCCGCCTGCTGCTGAGAGCCGGTCGCGAGGGCCTCCAGTGAAGTTGTGGAGGCCCCTCGTTCTGCACCCAGACGGTTTTCTAGCACAGTATCCAGCCCTGAAACGGCTCCTCCGGCCCCTTTGGCTTCAGCAGTAGCGTCGCCAGCATCCTGGGGGCTCCCGTTGCGCCGTAGACTGTCTAGGAGGGCAGAAGGAGACGAAGCAGCCCTCAGCAACAGACGGCCAGTGTCAAAGGGCCTCTGAAGGACTTGAGCCCCTGCCGCGTCTCCATACGGGGTCCTTTTCGATCCTGCTGCAAGATGCTGTCCTCCCCCGTGCCTTTTTCTCTCATCGGGAGGCAGCGGAGGCCTCCTCACATCGCGCTTTGGGGAAGCTGAGTGCTGCTTTCTGGGATCTTCAACAGCGCCTGTTACCCGTTTGACTCCATCAGATCTGCTGACAAACCCGTGGCTCACCAGCACAGCAACCGCCGCGCCAATGCCATGAGGTCTGAGAATTCTGTCACTCATAAGACGAATACCTTCAGATAGCCTAGCAACCGTACGTAGAGCGTAAAGGGGCCCACCCATCAACATGCCGAGCGCCCTTCCCCCTGACCCTTCTGGGGCCGGAGGCAGTTGCAACTTCCCACATCTCCCGCACCTTAAGAAGGGGCTAGAGACGCAGAACTCTGCTGGGGCATCTCTCTCTGCGCTGCAATGCCCCCCCGTCCCCGGCCACTTCTTATCATCGCCAGCCCATCCCTCCCGATTCGCCCCTTCTGTTTGGGGGCCACCACTAGAGCCTTCACTTGCACCGATGAAGGCCCTCAGAGAGCTCAGCTCTTCTGCAGTTAGCTCTTTAACCTTCGCACTAAAAAAATTCGCAATGCACGCCCACACAAATGGAGACGCCAGCTCTTCCAGGGCTCCCTGCAGCGGGTCCGCAGGGCTACCCTCCCCGTCTGCCTGTCGGGGTCC